GGCTGCAAGTTGAACGCTGCTGTTGCCTCTGGGAATGGTGCTGCAGAGGCAGTTGCCTCTTTGGAAGTTCTCAAAGCGATACCTTTTGTCTAAACAGCTTTTAAAAGTGTAAAAAAACCTTTTGTTAAATCACTGGTGTGTTTCAGCTTCTTAAGTCCTGCTTTGGAATTGTGCCCTGCTCTAATTTCAAGTCACCTGTTCTAAGACCTGAAGTGCCCAACAGCTGCTCTGTTCCTGACTGCAGTTCAGCTTGCCGTTGTGCTTGAGCAAACAATGAGCCACTACTCATAAGCCGTCTGTGCAAGAGCTTAAATATGGTGAGGAAGCTGCTGCTTGGTTATGTCCCCCAGCTGACTTGGTGAACTAGAAGGAGTATTTCTCTTCTGCCTGTTCTCATAAATATCTTTTTTTTTTCTTTTTTTTTCCTTTAAATACCTAAGTTCTGAAGTGCTTGAGAAATTAGCCGCCAGATATTAAGCTTCTGATAAAGTCAGCATGGGCTGCCTTGAGACTTGTGCAAAAAAACCCTCATAACTCACCTTAAATTAAGCATTAGACTCTATTGGCCATGTTTTATTTCTTAGCGCTGGTACTTTGTCCAATCTTAATATAAACATTCCTGCATGCATAGGTGTCTATACGCAGGTCAGCAGTATCTGTTGTGTGCAAAATTAGAGACTTAGGTTTAAGGTATCTAGGATAAGTGAAATGGGATGGAGGGTTTGCCTGCTGTGTTTTATACAGACCTGGCCATGTTGTGATGACTCAGCACTTAATCTTCAGTAGTTGCTGGTGAGAAAGGCAGCATTTGAGCAGCGTGGGCGATGAAGTAAATGAACTATGTAGTTAAGTGCTGTACTTAACACTGTGACTAACTTCGCAATTAGCTTCGCTTTTCAGACAGCAAGGCCAGATGCTTCACACTAAGGGCGATTTGCAGCAAACATGTACAAATAGTGAGATGTCCTGAACAGAGAACGTAAACCAGGTAGGGTTATGTGTTTCAGCAATACCTGCTGGCATCAGTTGTGTGTGGAAGATGGTGCTGAGCAGGCCCCCTCTAACCCACCCAGGGGACCAGCGTGGTTGGCAAAGGCTTGAGCAGGCTCTGGCCAGGCTCTGGGCTAGTAAGGTGGGTGCAGCTCAGTGCTCAACAGTTGATTTAATGTCAGATTGGTGTAGAAAAACAAAACTGTAAAAATACCATGTCTTTCTTTTACGGGAAGACTGCATTGTGCTCAAGTGTGCAATTTTCTATGTACTTATCTCGACAGGGTATCGTGACAGGAGCGCTGTTGTTCCTGCATTATGGATGTGGAACTGAAGCACAAAGACTCTAAGGCCTGGTATCTCAAAAAATATTGAGGCACCTTAGTCCTGCTGGCTAAAATGGGAGGTGCGGGATCAAATATTGCTACAGATTGATGCATGGTGAAATTCCAGAGATTAGAGAGAGCTTGTGGCTGACCAGGGAATTAAATTCTGCTCTCAAATACCAAACTCTTTCTCTGTAGACTGAAGATTCGGGGTTGGTTTAAAATGAGCCACCTGGATCCTTAAAAAGTTCTGAAGTGTGCTACTTCTGCCCATTTAGGAAACAAAGTTAATAACTGACCATTTGCACCATTTTAACTTAATGCAAAACTGCGTGAACAAATAAGTTTCAGGCAGAAAGCTTTGGTTTTTTCACATGGAAAAGGAGGTGGTGGTGCAGTGGAGTGGCCAGAACGATCCCTGTACTGCTTGAAGCTTCGCTTCCATCATGGACACAAAGAAACTCTGCTCAAACCTTGCCAGAACCTGGGCAAGCAAATCTGTGAGGAAAGTCTCGATTGCCTCTCTAATTTGGTGCTTGGACAGAGCTGTGTTGTGAAACACCACGAGCCGTGTGGTGACCATTGCAGGCATTCATGATGATGATACTCAAATGCCGAGAGGCTCTTACCTGGTGGTTTTCATACTGCTTTGTCTTGCCTCGAGAAGACCTTCCTTAGATATTTGTGTGCTGTCTAAATAGCCATAACAGACCAATGAATGGGATACTAAACCCCACGCTGGTAGGAAGGAAGCGATCTTTTGGAAGTAAGGAGTGTGATGTGCTACCTGTGGTATCGCAGAATGAGAAGCAGGTTTGGAGCCAATGGCTTCTTGCATCCATCGGCTTTTACATCCATCAGGATATCAGTGTTCTTCATTGAGTCATGAAAATTACTTCTAGAAGTGTAAAAACAAGATCTTGAAATCTGCTTTTGCTTAGCTGTCTGTCATGTAAAAGGAAATTGAAAGGATGAGATCCCAGATGAAGCGTGGCTTTTAAATTGCATACATGACATGAAAACCTAATCTTGTTTCAGACAGTGGCAGGATCAGATGGGTAAAATGGAGGCCTTGATCTCTCAGACTAAGAAGCAGAAAGGTTTTTTTTTTCCTGGCTTTTCTCTGTTCAGGGCAACTGGGAGGAGGCAAATGTTGGTGGCTATGGCATGGCCACGTTTGCAGGGGAGTGCACAGATCCATAGACGAGCATGCCCAGCCGTATGGGTGCGTGCAGTCTCATGGACCTGCCCACGTTACTCGCACGTGTACAGCCCTCCTGGCTAATAAGAATTTGATGTTATTTTTTAATAACTAACTTGGCTACTTGCTTTGATTGTTGCAGGGTTTGTAATGTGAATCTACTGGAAGCCCCTGTCTTATCAATTTTTTTTTGGTCATGGGATGGTTGCTCATCTTCAGATGCAATTCGTAATTATTAAATTACATCAGCTTTACTCTTCTATCTTCCTGAAAATAGATTTGCTTTGAAATAGGTGAGGTGTGGAGTTTGTTCTTAAGCAGTCTGATCATCCCCGTGGGTCTATACCCTTGCATTGCTTTTGGCAGATACGGGCAGCCTCATAGCATTTTCACAACCATAAGTATTTTTGATGGTTGCTTATATCTGTTACCCTTTAAGTTCTGACATGTCGTGCTAGCATATCTCTAGATGTACTTGGCTGTGATGCCTGAGTGTGAAATACACACTTGATTTTAAGTTCAAATTGTTAAATAAAATACTTGGATAGCACATTGGGTCTGTAAGCTGGGAAACTTAAGTCGGGCAGAAGTCTCTGGCTGGTTTGGTGGGTCTTGTGTGGATATATTCGTGTTCAGGCATCTGTTCCCTTTAAAACAACCTAGCTCTTGTTCCAGTGAGGAACAGAGAGAGCAGTAAAAGCTCTGAGGTTTGTGTTTGGGGTTTTTTGTGATAAGCTTGGCTGGCAGATCAATCTGTAAGGCTACCAGTCTGGCAAAAATGGGCTCTCTGCTCTGGAAAGCTTATGCTCTGTGAAATGCTTTATTTCTTGCATTTTGAGAATTTAAATTGTGAAATAGTTTTATCTTATTGTATGTTGTTTGTTTTCTTCCAGTGAAGCCAAAAGGCTGGAATTAGAAAGAAAACTGCTGGAATACAGAAAGTCTGATGCTTACCTGTAAGCCTATTTAAAAGCTTCTTATAGGTTATTTTATTTTAGTTATAAAGACTTGGGTATCACGGAATGCTTTTAGAATGTTGTCTTGGAAGTTTTTTTATAACAATAAATTTATATTCATGTTAAGTATAATGTAAGAGTCATGTCTCAAGTTATTGGTGAAATAACTTCAGCAACAGCATAACTACCTTATTCTGTTAATACTGAGGTGTTGTTATCTTGGTTATTACTAACATGCAAATTGGTTTTATGCAACTTTTGTAAAATCGCTGTAGCATAGGTTGTGCTAGAAAGTCCTCGGGTCTTAAAGTCTGAAAGTTTTACAAAGTCCTAGAGGATATTCTAGGTTGTAGTCCTGGTCCTTGGATTGTTTCTGCGTTATCTGCTTAATGTAAATTGCATATATGCTCTGTACAAAACCAAACCCCAAACCCTAAACAACAACCCAAAGCAAAAAAAAAAAACCAAAAACCCAACCACCAGCAGAAGAGGGCTGGAAAGTCTCATCCAGTGTTCCTTTCCTCAAATGGGTTTTGTGAAGCTCACAGCGGTGACTTTTCTGGTCTTGGCTCAAGGGACTGAGGGCTTGGTGCAGTAATGGCCAATCCCTTAGAAACTCCCCTTCTGAAAGAGGGCCTTTAATGTAAATGAAGACATAAATTTAAGGAAAAAAAAAATATGCCTGGACAGGTGGGGTCACATCATGTGTACTTTGTTTTTATTTGATTCATTTCAATCTAACAGGTTTTGAACTGAAATTTCTCTGAAAATAATTGGTGGCTTGGGAGACTTAGGTTGCAATTTCACTGCTGATTTAAGCAGACCTGTAGGCAGATTGAGACCAAAAGATGTTCCTGACTCCCCCGGTTCACGTTTTCCCTTTGTCGGCACTAATGCTTGTGTGGCTGCTCTGTAGTCAGATAAGAAAATGGGTCTGGCTGAAAGTGAATGTGGTTTTTGGGTTGGCAAGAACTGGTTTTAGATGGATTTTCAGCTGGATGCTCTTGGCCTGATTTGCCATGTGGCCACACAGCAGGTACCAGAGGCTTGGAGCGAGATGCCCCTTTCTGGTGGCAGCATGGATTTAGGTTGGCTTAAAGCAGCTGTGAAACTGCAGCTTTAATGCTACCATTTGTATGACTTTCAGAGCACGTTTTCTAAATAGTTTTCATTTTGATTTAATGTGATGTGACTAAGACATAATCCATTTAAAACAAATCTGAGAGCTTTTTAATATACTTATCCTTTTGAACACCAACCCCCCTGTTTAAGTCTGAAGTTATAGAGGAGACATCCTGTCAGTTGTATAACACAGCTTTAGACGGGCAGAGAATGTGTGGGGGCTGGGGGGGCAGCTCCTACAGAAGTGTTAGCATGCGTGTGTCTGAAGAAGAGTGGTTGCAATAGATGCGTTTGGTTTATTTTCCTACTCTTTAAGTACAGTTTCTTTTTCCCCTGTAGAACAAAACTGAAATATATGAAGCTGAAAAAATACTTGAAAGAAATAGATGAGCGACAAAAAGGAGCTCTTCGGCGAAACCAGACCTTTTTAAAGGAATTTGACCGGTTTGAAGCTCACATGAAAACTTCAAGCTCGGAGATGATTCAGAAGATGGAAGTAACTTTCTATAAGACTTAATATGTGTTTACTGTTATTACAGGGTTGGTTTTGGAGGAATATTATGCACATCAAGGTGTCAGGTGTTTGTGAAACCCCATCGTATGTTTCAGAGTGCCTAAAGTGGTAATGTTGGGGAATTTGAGATGAACCCGAACTCTGCTGATGTCTGATGTAACAGACCCTGCTGTAGCTGTGGAGGTAGTCAGCAACGCTTCAGAGCTCTACATTGAGTTGACAGTGAAGTGCCCTGTGCTTCCGAGTCTCTTGGAAGTGAGGGAGAACTGAGCTGAAAAAATATGTGGAAGTGGATCGTGTGTTTGGAGTGTTAGTGGTAAGATAATAAATCAGCAGTGTCTAGGTTAGGACAAAAAGATGGCTTGAGTTGTAATATTTTCATAAAGATTTTGTTATAAAGATGTATTTCAGTAAGGCTTTTATTACTTAAAAATACCCAAATACATTTCATGGAAGTCATTTCAGGACATATTTAATTTACTTTTTTTTAATTTAATTTTTAATTTAATGAACACCCTAAATAGCCATAGTTAGTCTTGCCATCCTTATTGCTCTGTCTTCATCAGCAGAGGAAGCATACGAGTAAATAACTTCTGTTACAACAAGTTACTGTGTGTGAACTACCTGGGCTAAAGCTGAGCTAAAATGAGGTCTTGCTTGGTTCTGCTGCTAAGCAGTCAACTGGCAATACTTGAGCACTGGTAAGAGAAAACAACTGCCCCCTCCAGCGTCCTCGTGTGTCACTCGGATCTTTGCTTTTGGTAACATTTTTGTGTGTACTCGGAGATATTTGAAGGATTTCTGATTCATATTATTAATATGTTGTCTTGCTATTTCCTGAAGACGTTTTGGGATGTTGCAAAGGGATATAGGTTAGTAATGATCTCTGATTTAAAAAAAAGAAAAAAAAATAATAAAATTGTGACACGCTCATGGCACTAATATATGGAGTCAGATTTCTGAGGAGGTAAAACTGTGAGGGAAATGTGTTTCTATCCGCTTTCAAAGAGCGGAAGCATCCGTCAGAAATATTTGGTAGGGGCTATTTCTGTCCCTCTGCCACCCCCCTTTGACTTACTGGAAGAAAGGAGGGCAGGAAACAAATTAGTTGAGGCATTTTTAAGCTCCTATGATGTGGTACTGAGGCAACACTTATTTTTGTGTGGCTATCCAGAACTCAGCTGTGACTGGCTTTTATTTCTCTGAAATGCAGTTCGAATTAAAGCAGGAACAGTGTTGTCTGAGTGTGCTGTGTTCCTCCCTCTGCCTTCTGTTCAGGGGCACACGCAGCTTGATCTGAGACAGTAAAACTTAGACTGTGATCCTCTTTAAAAGGAGGTGTCTAGAAAGCCTGGGTCCAGAAAATGTGAAAGTGCAGCAGCGCCCTTGGATGACAGTGGTACAGGTCTGAAGGAAAAGTGTGGGGTGGCTGAGGTCCTCGGGTACAGCCAGTGTGGGGAAAGAAATACATGCCCTCTCAGAAGCACTTCTGAAAAAAGCCACGAGGAAGAATTTGACTGCAACATAAAAACAGGGGGAACAGAAGGGGAAAAAGGATAAAATGATGTAGAAGTTCAAAAACAAATGAGCAAACCTTACTTTAAAATATTTTTTTAAACTTTTCATGTGCCCTGGAGCCACCACACTAGGAATTGTTACTAAAGCTTAGCCTGAAGTAGGGATGTAGAAGCAGCAATGTACTTTATTTTCGATTTTTTTTTTTTTTTTTTTTTTTCCCTACTGTCTGGTTTGGCTTTTGCTAGCTGCATCACAGAAACCCTTTGTATGCAGTTCTTGCATCAGAAAAGTTCCTTTCCTTCAGCAGATAAATGTACGACCTGAAGTGTGAGCGTTTGTTCTTCCTAAAAATCTTCAGTCCCTTTAACTATGCATGTTAATGTTGATGCAGTGCCTAGTCCTTTTTGAATCCTCATAAGCTTTTTGTCAAATCAGTATAAGGTGACAACAAGCCCTGTATAGTAATTCTGTACTGTGGCTAAAAAAACCAACCACCAACTAAAAAAAACCCCACCCCCAAACTTTAGTGTTTTTAAATCAGCTGTCTTTGCTTTCATTGAAAATCTTGCTTTTTTGAGAACAACTTGCTGGCCCCAGGCAACGCTGCCCCTGGTAGCTGTAACTTGCAGTGTATGTACCTTGCCTTCTGCTGTTCACATTCGAGTAAATAGCCCCAGTCTCCGCTCTGCTCATGTAGGAGGTTTGCTCCACACGGCATTTGAGATGGGGTGATGAGACCCCTGCCTGCTGATTAACGCCCCCCCTGAAGCGCCAGTAGGTTTGCCCGTGCGTTTGCTATTTGGGAGGTGCTGCCCTTGACTTCAGCGTAGGGAGGGGATGATTTGGAGGGTGGTTAGCTCATCTCCCTGCCTCTGGAAGTAAGGAAGCTCTCTGGAAAAGGTGCAGCTATCTCTTACGGTGGCAATTGATTTCCACTCTAATGAACCAATGGGCCGGCTAAGGTCCCATGGTTGCACACCCGTGTTAATAAATTCCTCGCACAACTGTAGCCCGGCTAGTGCCTGGTAATTCTTTCAAGCCTGTTGGGTCTGGTGATGTTCACAGAGCATCTTTTCCTTGCCTCAGCTTAGTAACGCAGTCTGGAGACTGTCTCTGGGGGTCTGTGCTGATTCCACCCCCCCTTGTTCTATTTTGTTCTATTTTTTAGATTTTATTTAAAGCAGAGCAGGACCGGGAAGTATGCCATGAATGCTAGGTTTCACCATTTGTTTTTAAGGATTTTTTTTTTTTTTTTTTTTTCCCTGAGCAACCCTAATGCTCACCAGTTTAACGAGCGGTCGGTTGTTGTAACACACTGGTGTGAGTCACATTGTGCCATGGGTTGATGTGCAGGGCTGGCGTTCGTTGCTTCCATTTTGATGGTTCTATGCCATCCATTTTATTTTTGCCAGGTTGGACTTATTTTTCTGAGCTGTTGAACACAGCACATCTTGCATATCCTCTGTGTTGTGATAATGAAAAGCCCCCTTGTTGTGGATTGCATAAGAATTATGGAGCATGTAATCATTTAATCTATCATGGAAGCACAGAGAAAGAAATTATTACTATTTTCTCTTTTTTTTCATAGAGAGAATATGCCCTTTAGGAGTGCTTTATCATAACTGCACACAGTTTATTATGTGGCTGTAGCTGACAAAACTTCTCTTGTTTCTGGGAGATTCACTTTTTTTCCCTGTGTTTGTGTGCCTGCCGTTTGTTCAGTAATTTTGGGGAGCATAAGGAAATTCACTTAAGTGTTCGGGAAAATCCATTTGAGTTTATTTTGAGCATCTTTAATTATCCTGTGGGTGTTTTTTGTTTCTTAATTTCATGTTTACGATTTTATGAGCAGCTTCTATTACCTGGGAAATAGCAGACTTGTGAACGCACCGTCGGAGTGAAGTGCGGAGCTGGTGAAGTTAATTGTTTTAAAGATTTATTTTCATGCATATTACCTGATGCAGAATAGGTATTGAAGTGCTTTCATTCAGGGCCGATGTAACTTGTTATTGGGGTTTACAATTACTAACAAACAGGATTAATTATAGGTGCTGCCTGTGCTTGGCTTTTAAGCAGGAGTCCTACTAGGAATGCATTACATTTGGTCAATTAACCACTGTAGTGGAGGTGAGGGCGGTCTAGGCAGTTGTTTGTCAGAAACACTACAGCAAGTTGCCTTTCATGCTGGGTTGCTCTGTATAACATCTGCCATATATTTTTCCTTCTAATAGCTCAATGAGTTGTAAGATGATGCATGTAAAACAAATTCTAAAGCTCATTTCATCCCAAAGCAGCGGCGTCATTGTCTGGATGCAGCAGAAATAATTTGGCGTTACAAATACTAGTTGGGATGAAATAAATTTGAGTCAACAAGTTATTACTGTTTTGTAGGATTCTAAATTACGCGAATGAATAAGCGTGTATTTAAAAACCTGCAGATGATTGTGTACAGGCCACGTCATTTGTTCAGGGGAGCGGAAAAATGAGGAGAAAATGGGATCTCTGGCTTTTTAAATCTAGTCCAAGTGAAAAACACTGCTAAGGACGTTACATTTAAAAGGGCACAATTTGCAAAGTAGTATTTGTTGATTTGTGATGGGGGTTTTTTGGCCTTTGATTTTATGTAATGGATTTGTTCGCATTTAGGCATGGTATGGAAGAGAAATTCAAAGTGTGTTATCGCTTCAGGAGGGTAACTTGTCAGCAGAAGGTGACAAGGAAGAAGACGAGGAGCAGGTACTGTGAAAGAGGTGGGGTGGGGGTGTGTTTGGTTACATGGATGCGCTTTCCCTCCGTGCTGCTGCGGGAAGAGGCCGGCATTGCTACGCAGTCTTCTCATGGGGATTTTTGTTCTGACATTTGTAGTGTGAAATATTGCTTAGCGTCTGAGCCAAGTAGAACAACCTGGGTAAAAAGTGCAATTATTTCAACCAAAGAACTCGAATTAGGAAGGGGGAAGAACTCGTAGCTGACTATATTCATCTTCATGTTGGTTTTTATAATTCCTGTGCCAAACAGTGTGAAAATGGTCTTGACCGGGGAGGAAATTTTCTTAATGACTGATATTTTTTAAACTGCAGCAGTCGATTCATACGGTGTATTTATAATTTTGTGCGTTTTGACCTTTTCTCAGAAGAAGCAAAAAGAGATTGCATATCTAAGTAACAGACAAAAAGACTGACAAGGAATACTTAAATACATTCTGCTATATATCTGCAGTAATGCAGGCTTCTAATCCCTCCTCCTATCTCCATATAAATGATACAGTTCAAGACCATAGCTGTTTTCTTCACTAAAAGCAGTAAAGCTCTTTTAGATGAAATGTCTAAAAACATCTTGTAATAACTTGGAGCATGCTGGCAAGAGTAGTCACTTGTGACTATGTGTGAAACCCCCTCAGCTAGTCGATATTGTAATAAGCAGAAATGGTAGCATCACTCCATTATTCAGAGAAGCCAACAGCATGCTTGTCCCTTAGGCTACAGCATTCATTAAGAAAAGCTTACTGGGCTGAAAGCTGGAAACAGATGATAACGGGATATGATTTTCATATTTAATGCATTCCTTGGAAGAGTATGTGTGCTGCAGATTGATAGAAGAATCAACTGCTACTTTACTAAAAGACTTTCTAGTTTGCCCTATAGCTACCGATGGAATCATTCAGCCAAGAAATTAACTTTTTCTCCTTTTACCTGCTTTATATATCTGCTAAGCAGGCTGCCTGGCTGCCAGTAAATGTTATTATGCAGTTAAATGTTTGGTATTTAAGACTCTTATCAGAAAAGAAACAGAGGCCACACTATTTTGTTTTTATAGGAGGAGGAAGGTTTTCGGTTCTCTTTCTTCAGTGCATTAGCAGTCGTTAATCTGAGTTTATAGGAAGTTTTCCCCGTAGATTAAAAAGTTAAAAACCTTGAATTTAGAGCATTCTTTAAACTGTAATATACAAAGCAATGAACCCGAGCAACCTTGACCTATATAAGCAGGCCTCCAGCGGTGTGCGAATTACAGTTTTAATTCAGAAGTACGTGGAAAGGTGAGTTTATTTTTGAATGCTAGATTCTTCAATTAAAAGCAGACAGTGTCAGAGGCGTGATTTCTAACCTATGGAAAAGTTTACATAGATACTAGAACATCAAAGGCTCACGGTGTGACTTGGATTTTAAAAAAACTGTTAGCAGGGTTTGGACAGTACAAGAACTTGGTGTGTACCCAAATATGTCACTTTATGTTGAATTACAGTTAATAGCTTGATTGCGGACTCTCTCATCCCGTCCCCTTCTTTTTCCTGCTCACCTCCCTCCTTAAATACAAAGGCAACTTCCACTAAATTGCGCATCCTTTTGCCTTGTCTATGCGCTGTCTCTCAGATCTTACGCTGTAACTCCATTTTTTTTCGGACTGATCGAGTCTGTTTCCCACCACCTTCACCTCACTTAAAATCTGCTTATCCTTATATCCAAAATATGAGAGTTTGTTCTTGGCGATGCGGCACCGAGTTAGTTGTAGTGAGCACATGCGGTTAGCAGGTGGCATATCCAGGATTCAGCTCATCGCAGCTTGGAACTGGTTTTATTCACCAGCACCGGTATCGTGATGGTTCCCTTCAGGCTACTCAGGATGCCAGCGATCGTGTGATAACCTCGTCAGTGATGCATCTTGGAGACCAAGAAGCACAATCACAGGAGCAATCTTCTAGAGATGGTTGGTATCCCCGCTCCCCTAGAATGCCCTAAATGAATATCTGGTACTTCTCTGAGCTACGGGATATGCACTCTTTGGACTCTCAGTTTTTACGGGGGTCCTTGGGCTCAGAAATCGTATACCCAAACAGTGTTTGTCTAGAAAACCATGATTCTCTGCAGAAAGGACTTGAGTACCAGTCCTTTGAAGCCCAGTGTGTTGGCAATCCAGTGTTACAAGTGGGAGGAGAGGTCCTGTACCGAAGAGGCCCTTCTCAGCTGGCGGAGCCATGTAACTCAGGCTTCTGAAACCTTCGTGCCGTGAGGTCTGGCTTCTTCAACTTCAAAGCACGTTCTTGAAGTCTTTTGAAGATTTTGGACTTGTGCGTCTTGTCACTGCCGTCCCTGTTGGACGCAGGGCATGGGGGCACCTCCCAGGAACGCTCGTGGGTGGCAGAGCATCCTCCCTGGGAAAGGGGGTGTCACCAGGGGAGAGTAACGCCTGGATGAGACGAGCCCCTGGCTCGACTTCACCTCCCAAGCTTTCATGTGGTCGTCTGCTGCTGGGGGGGACTCGGCCCTTTTGTAAGGCCTAATGGAAGGGATTTTTTTTCCTTTGCCTTCAAAACACTTTAATGATAATAAAAAAAAGATGGTATTTGTTACTGGAGGAAGAAGTGGGGAGCCCGCACTCCACCACCAAAGAGAGTATTGTAAGTGTGCTTTGCGCAGAGACTTCATTTCACCCCCAGCTGGAGGGACATAGGTTCAGGAATTTTGTTGACTGTCTTGGGTAAGTCATCTACACTTTTTTACTGCTTTGGTGGTAAAAACAGTAGCTAGGCCAATGTTAACTGTCATGCTTTTGCTTTGAGAGTGCAAAGGCGGTGAAGAGATTACTTTTTTTTCTGCAATCGGAGGAGCTTGTTAAGAGATGTGCGTCTGCTATGACTTTGCCAAGCACTTGTACCTGTTTGAATTGCATTTGTTTTGGAACACTACATCCAGGAGCTGCTAAATCCAGAAAGCACTTGCTAGATGCATTTTAAAGCAGCAAATCCAAGACCCAAAAAGTAATTAGGAGGAACCCGAGAGCAGTGGTGATGGAATAAGCTGTGAACCTAATCTGAGTAGCAAACCTTTACTCCTTCTTAAAATAACTTCATGGCTTTTTGTTCTGCTTCTTGTTACGTGGAATCTGAGCTTTTTTAATGAAACTTGGTCACAGCCTAGACAAGATGCCTTTGTTTCCTTTAAGCTGGGCTTGGCAGCTGACTTTGTATGGTGGGAAGAGGTCATGCAATGAAAGAGAGGAGAGAGGTGTGGAGGTGACTGTAAATTGTCCTGCTGTGATTTGGGGCTGAAAAGTAAGCCCTGCTTAGTATGAACAATGGCATTACGATAGCTAATTTTGGCTTTGCATAAACTGGCGGTGACCTTTTAGTAGTAGTGGTGGCAGTAGCCACCCCTCCTAAATTGTTCTGATTGAGTAGGTTTACAAAGGAAAAAAGGCAAGTATTAAAACACTGGGATTTAGAAGCAGAGTGGTTATACTGTTGGAACTGTTTTTATGCAAGTTCAACAGTTCTTGGAGGAAAGTGCCATTTAAAATGTTTCTGCTCGGTGCCCAAAGTTGCCTTGTGGAAAATGCGATTTCATCTACGTGGCGTTAGCTTGAGTAGCCGTTCTCCCTCTTTGGTGTGATTTAACGGACAGGACAGAGCAGAAGGAAGACAATGAATACAGTGATTTCTGCCTCGTTCTTATTTGCTTTGTCGATGTGCTGTGAGCAAAGCTGGATATACAGGCAAGTAAGCGATGGCAGATGTACGTTTCAAACTCTCCAGGGACCCTTCCTCATCCCATTGCTTTCTAGAGAAGACCATGAGAGGAGCGGCAGGAGGAGGTTGCTTAGTGCGGCTGCTGTGGGTGGCTCTGGAGAGGCCAGCTGTGCCGTGGGCACTGCAACGGGGTCCTGGTGGTTGTGTCTGGGCTTCAGGGTGCTGCGGTGCTTAAGCCATGGGCTACCAGCGGCTCTGCAACATCATGCACAAGGGCTCCACGCGAGTCAGTAGCTTCAAGGTGTTTTCAGTGACTTTGGTGGGAAGATAGTGCTTTGGTCCAGGGTCTTAAAAGCCTTGGCAGGAATCTAATCTTAAAAGCTTGCCTGTTTGTAAAAACCAGTTACTGTTCAGATTAGTTTGAGTCCTTCATGTATTTCAGTCCCTTTAGTCAGGTTGGGGGTGCAGCGCACTTTTGCCAACAGTTGTTTTGGCTCACGGAGCTTCAGTTGAGGTCCAGGCCCTCGTTTTCACACTAGGATGCAAGAAATGCATGCCAAGTGTTTGTGTAATAATAATACTATACAAAATACTTGAGTTCTGTGCCACTTTTCTCTCCAGAAACCAACGTGTGATCCTTTAGAAGCTCCGTTTGCAGCGCACTGCCTGTTTGTTTCCTTAAGCTAGCTCCCACCTGTGTTTTTCAGGTGCTGCTGGTTGGAAGACGGGCAGGAATTGGCACCGGGGCAGCCGTGCCAAGAGGACTGTATCATCCAGCAACAGTCTTCATGGGCTGCCAAACATCAGCTGTCTTGGCTGCTGGAGGTTTGGACACGCGGCAGAAGCACCCCCAGCCCACAGAGAGCCGCTCAGCACCTTCGTGCTCTCCATCGCTTGATGGACTCAGTCCAGAGAGCAGAAGCACTGATTTAGAGAGTGATGCATCAGTGGTGGGAGCAGCGAGGCGTGGGGACCTGACAGCCAGTGAGGAAGGCTCCGAGCAGCTCATCTCCTCAGCATCTGATCCCGAACCGGCTGCCCCCGAGGAGGAATGGCCGTGGGGAGGCATCCCAGGTATGGCAGGGCGCAGGCCTGTCTGCTGCTGCCCGGCGCTGGGGCACGCTCATCCCAACCCGAGTGACGCCCAGGGCTGCTGCTGTCCCCTGTGTGTCTTGCACTCTGGTTGAAGCACAGCAGCACTCAATTTTTTTCTTTTTTCTCTTTTTTTCTTTTGACTCTGTTTCTTCCCTGGCCTCTCATCTGGACAGGCAAGGGCTTGCTGCAGGCTGAGCCTGTTCAGGTTCGCTATTAGAAAGTGAAGATCTCTTCACTGCTGTGCCCGCAGTTGTCTTGAAGTACTCCAAGCCCCATTTTAAGAGGTTTAATGTGAACCTGCTTTGCTGGCAGAGCATGTCACTTCTGTTCCGGGTTGGGTTCCTTCTCCCTCCGATGCTTGTGCACAAATAGCTCATTGGTTTCTGAAAACGGGATTTGGCAATGCAGACTGAGGATCGGTGCGTCCCCGTACATGGCTGGATTAATTCCTGCGTGGTGGTGGCTCTCTGCCTTCTTCCCAGCATTCCCGAGAGAGGCGGCGCAGACCTCCCAGCTGAGATGCTTGTGCTCTGGGACAAGATGCGCTTCCCTTGAAGGCTGTGTCCCAACTTCCCAGCCCTTTTGGGTTTTTTTTTTCCTTTTCCTTTCCCCCTCCCCCCCCCATCTTGACAAAATGTGTTCTTTCGTGTTTTACTGGTTTGGTTACTTACTTTGAAGCAAGCTAATGGATGCGGTTTTGAAGTTGCAGTGACAAAGATTTGTCTTTAAGTAACAGTTTATTCCTTTTTTTTTTTAAGACCTTGCAAAAATACTCCCCCCTGCCTTGCCAGTTAACTTACCAATTCTCAACTTCAGCTAGCTTTCCAAGCCCCATAACACTTGCTAAGATGGAGCTATTTATAATGGAAACTGGCGGTGCCCCTAATGATGCAGGAACTCCTGCTCTCCTGTAATGATGGTGGTTTCCTTTGTAGAGGAAAGCTGGCATCCCCATCAGATGATCTGTGCTGCTACTCGGGGCTTTTCTGGCATCCTCTTTCTTGAGGTTTTTTTTTTTTTTCCCTGTTCCTTTTTATTTCTTGAAGGAATTTATTTGCCTCTCATTTTCTTTCATCTGATGCATTTGCCACTTTTCTGTTTTAATGAAAGCCTGTCCTTACTGGCGCTGGAAGGAGCCCGGTCCAGCCTGGCTTACGTT